TTACCGGAAAACAGAAAACGGGTCCACATTGCAGAAAAATGAGAATTAAACAAACACCTCCTGTTGATCTTCAACCAAACCTGCATGAATAAAAAATGCTACCTACATAGGTCTAACACACACACACACACACACACACACACACATACATACATACATACACATACAAAGACACACAATTAGGAAAACTAGATGTATGATAAACTTACATACATAAAGCAATATTTGCACTTAGGCTTAGAGTCCATTAATTCTTTTGATCTTCGAATGGACGCATCATCTCTTCTTGAGTCCAGAGCGGTATTACTTATACTTACGCTGCTTAACAAGTCAAATGCACGCGAAGCCTGCTTAACCAATGAAGATCAAACAACACAAAATAAAAAATACCAGAATTTATTTTTCGCAATATCTTATTCTCTGGAGAAACTTTAATAAAAAATGAAACGTTAAATTGATAAACGTGTCCTATTTGTTCGTTATCAGTCTTTTTATTTTATTTATTCGAAAATTATACCATAAACATGTTATAAAATCACTACAAAAATAGCCATTTTGTTTCAAAACTTCTCGTGTCTTATCAAGTGATGGTGTTGAATGTAGAATAATGAGTTTTAAAAAGTTCAAATCAACCAAACACCCCTCGATAAGCTGCAATGACCAATCAAAATACAAGTATATGAGAATTCGAAAAACTTGACAACGAACTAAGTTTTTAATAATTAATGCCTTAATGTTAGTGTTAGACAAAAATAGAAATCATTCTGATTAATTAATATTAAACTTTACTATGAAACCGAAAATTATTAAAAATTACCATTTTTAAAAATTAAATTTAATCTGTATTAAGTTTAATATATTATAAAATTATTTAAAGAAGAAACTGAGAAAAATACCAATCCTATATTATATATATATATATATATATATATATATATATATATATATATATATATATATATATACCGAATAGGTTGGTATAATGAAGTACACACATACTGCTATTAACTGAGATATAATCCAGAAAAATAGCAAAAATACTTTAAAAAAAAAATGATATCTGTTTGTTGAAAAAGTAAAAAAAAAACAAAAAAACAGGGTTAGGAATTCTGTTATTTTAAAATATATTGTGCCACTCAGCTGATATGTGAAATTGGTAAGGGTGGAATATACTGGAAAAATAGACAAGCAGATCAGATGACAAATAAAGGAAAGTATGATTCCACAGAAAAAGGCCAAGACTGTCAGGGAACAGCTGTCCGCTTTGAATGTTTGGCATGTTAGACAACTGTTAGGATACATACATATATATATATATATATATATATATATATATATATATTGGTGGGAGACATATTTTTTCACGTTTCAAATATCAACATGCTTCTTTTATCATTTTTCCCCGACTCTCCTCACCTCTCTCTCTCTCTTTATCTCTCTCTTTCGCTCTCTCTCCCTTTTCCCCAAAACGGCTGGTTCGGGGTTCGAATATAGATCAAAGACTTTGTCAACCAGATTTTTAGAATTAGTATTTCAATGCCGTTACCTATATTCTTGGTGTGGTGAAAGGCTTCTTTTCTAACAGTATCTGAAGAATTCGTTTAACCCAATGATTCGCAACGTGGGGCGCATGCCCCACCGGCAGGGCATGGTAATATTTTGATGAGGCATATGTAGGATGTGCACCCTTCGTCTTACTATACCAACAGAATAAAGGGGCAATTTAAAAATGAGTTATTAACAGTGAATTGTTTTCTCGTGAGTCTGAGTGAAATTGTTAATGTTAATGCATTTTAATTACGTACGATGCATATACAGAATGCATGCATAAAAATATTTTGTGCATTTAAGTAATTGGAATACATATAAGAATTAAATATTACGACGCGGGTGGGCACTAGAATGATAGAAATGCCAAAGTGGGGCGTGGCCCCAAATCGGTTGGGAACAATTAGTTTAATCGATACATTTTGTTGTTAACCATTAATAGGTCAAATTTCTGGAGTAAGAAATAAATGAATAAAATAAAATAAATATAAAAAAGTAAAAATAAATAAAACGATTTCAATAGAATTTATAAATTCACTTTCTTTCTCCTAATCTTATTTAAAAGTAGAGACAAAAAAAAGTTAAATCATAAGAATTAGTCACAGTAAAAATTAAGAGACCGTCTTCTAAAAACAGACTTAAAAGTGTATAAAAAGCGTAAGATTCGAAAAATAGATTTCCCCTCCCGAGGCCAATATACTAGTGATGACGGAGCGGGTCTATACTGATGACTGAGGTACTTATATTTGAGATATGAATGATCATGAACGGGAAATCAACATTCTCTACCAGGTGTTCTACGGAATAAGACTCAAGATAAACCTTTCTAAAACAGAAACTATAAACTGGAATTGGAATGAAAGTTATGATGAGTTATACTCTATGTCTTTTATAAAGATCCAGGATGAGGAATTAGTAGGTACTAAACACTTCAAATATCGTGTATGGATTGGTTATAACAAATTTAGTATACTAGCTTAAAAGCCGCCATATTTAAATCTTTGCATATTCTCAGCATTGGAAGCTTTCCTGGATGCCGTTTGATCTGGATTTTCATTTGCGCGGGATTTTTCTTTTTGCACGGGACTTTCTTTTCATTGATGCAGTCTTTAATTGCAATCTGGCGGAGATTTCCTTTTGCGTGGCATACTGCTGCTGTATGCGATAAGCAATAATAAACTATAAAAAATGCATGAAGTATTGCATTAATATTTAAACTAACCTTTTAAAAGTTCAACGATAATTCTTCTTCCGCCACTTAATTGAAAGACAATTTGATGTACGTAGGTCCTTACCTTCCGTAAAAACAATTATTTTTATTTCATGGGTGACTTTCGCGGGGTTTCGCAATTAATTTCGATTATTACCAAATTGTTATACCGGAACATACCTATTCTATTGTTAATAAACTCTCCCACATATAATAAGTAGTAGTAGTAGCAGTCGCCAGAGAGCTCAGTGAGTTGGTCAGTCAGTCGATGACATTAAAGTATCAACCACCACAACTAGATTGCTGTCATTAACTATTATTTCAAGTTTCTAACGTTTTGTTCGTCGAACCTTTTTTAGGGCCGACTTAGTGAAATACAAGCCTCCACTGTGAAACTACTCTATAACAATTTGTCGACGAGGGATTCGTTCTCATACGGAGGAAGAAAAACTTTTCGTACTCTATAACAACTTTGGCGACGAAGGATTCGTTCTCATACGGAAAAAAAAATTTCGTTCACTCTACAACACGTGACGACTACGATTCGAAACTCATACGGTGAGAGAAAAAAAAATTCACCCGCTATAACACAAATTTATTTCCAAATTATAGGAAATGTTATAGTACAAAAAAATAAAAAGAAAAAAGAAAAGAAAAGAAAAACCGTCACAATAAATCACGTAAAAAATCGTCGAAAATAATCGCAGTAATGAAAATTTGGGAATCCAAAATTTCTGTAACATGAGCTATTCAAAGTAAAAGAGTTGTGTCCCTTTAATTGAAAAGTGTGTCACACTGATATTCGCATTTATTATATAGAAGAGAAAAGGAAATAGAACATAAAATAGGCCGCCAGCTGCTATAAAACCAAAAATTAACTTCAAAACTTGTGTCATGTTATTAAATAGCCCCGTCAGTTCGAGACTTTGTATGTCTTCTATAGCGCTAAACTTGTTCAGAAATATTTAGACTGTCAGCTGTATACAAACGCTTTCTAAGATCAATGGTTAAAAGTGGCTTTTAGCGTGTGAAGCCTATGGGTCTTCGCAAAGAGCATCCTCCTTCTTTCAACATTATGGTATGGCGCTACAGAATCACAAGAACTGCATCAAATAACAGAAATCACATCACTTGAGGGCTATCAACGGCAGAAACAACTGAAATATCGAGCACATATAATTCTAAGAGAAAATAATAACATGATAAAGATGTTTGACGTTCCACAAAACTTCAAATAAAAGATTAGGAAAGAAACAACCAACAAGACATCACCATTACACTTTGCTAAATATGCAAGAATCGCACGGAAAGTAATGCCTTTTAATATACTGAGATTGTCAGCAACGCCAATGGCGGATATTGGTGGGATAACTATTTTGGGGGCCTTGTTACAAAACGTTTTTTTTTTTGGTAAAATGGCATCTAACGTTTTCTTTCTTTTTTGTCTTTTTTTACCTTTTTTTTTTTTGGGGGAAATTTTGATATCATCAATTTGATTGTTTGAGGAATGAACATTACGTTCTTTAAAAATATGAATTAAAATTTTACTTCATTCGAATAGGTTTTTATTCCGTTACAAAAACATGAAATTCCCTTTTAATAAATTATTTTTTTAGCGAAATGGCACCAGCGTCTAAGAGATCACGAAAAATTTTTTTTATTTTTTCGGTGGTTGTAAAATAGTTACGATCTCCAGTTTTGTTCGTTTCGATTTTTTTGTTTTGCCGAATTAATTTCCGTGACATTTTATGGAGAATATTTATTCAAGTGTCAGAAAACAACTTAAATTTTGTTTTCTTTTGGATGACATTTACTTTTTGCTATATATATATATATATATATATGTGTGTGTGTGTGTGTGTGTGTGTGTGTGTGTGTGTGTGTGTGTGTGTGTGTGTATGTATGTATATGAGGTATATTTAGGCAGCAAGTATTCATCCAAACAAGTCTAATTAAAAAAAAAAAAAAACGTCCCTAAAGTATTAAGCAGACGGACTTTGTCGGTTCTTTTTTTAATCAAACTTATATATATATATATATATATATATATATATATATATATATATATATATATATATATATATATATATATATATATATATTTATGTATATGTATATGTACATATATATATATATGTGTGTGTTTTTGTGTATGACATAACATATAGATAATAGGAATGAAACACGGAAATATTTAGATAAATAGATACATACATACATACCAGTCAAAGATAGAGCAGACTGAGGTAGATAGATATATAGATACATACATAGATACACACAGCAGAGTAAGATAGATAAAGCAGACAGACAGACAGATAGATAGATAGATAGATAGATAGATAGATAGATAGATAGATAGATAGGAAGGAAGGAAGGAAGGAAGGAAGGAAGGAAGGAAGGAAGGAAGGAAGAGGATGGGAATAGGGAGAAAGAAAAAAATTAGACGTAAACGAGAAGTGTGAAATCGTGAGAGGGAAAGATGCCAAATAGAAAAGAATAAAAGAAAAAGAGAGAGTGGGGGGGAATGAAAGAAAAAGACAATAAGTGTGTGTATTTGTGTTTGAAAGACAATGAAAAAGGAAGAATGAAATAGAGAAAAAAGGAAAATAGGATGAAAAAATGGGGAAATAGCGCTAAAATGAGAGAGAGAGAGAGCGAAAGATGGAGAGAAAAAAGAGAAGAAAATATGCGCATAGTGAGAATGAAAGAGAATGAGAAATGAAGAAGGAGGAGGAGGAGAAGGAGGGGGGTGAGGAAGAGAGGAAGAGGAGATTGATAGCGGTCGGGTGAAAGAGAGAGAGAGAGAGAGAGAGAGCGAAAGATAGAATGGGAAAGATGGAGAGAAAAAAGAGAAGAAAATATGCGCATAGTGAGAATGAAAGAGAATGAGAAATAAAGAAGGAGGAGGAGGAGAAGGAGGGGGTAAGGAAGAGAGGAAGAGGAGATTGATAGTGGTCGGGCGAAAGAGAGAGAGAGAGAGAGAGAGCGAAAGATAGAATGGGAAAAATGAAGAGAAAAAAGAGAAGAAAATATGCGCATAGTGAGAATGAAAGAGAATGAGAAATAAAGAAGGAGGAGGAGGAGAAGGAGGGGGTGAGGAAGAGAGGAAGAGGAGGTTGATAACGGTCGGGCGAAAGAGAGAGTGAGAGAGAACAAGGTGAAAGAGAGGAAGGTTTATAGCACCATCGAGGACAAATAATATGTCATTTGAAGGGCAGACAAACAAGTCTAATTTAACTCCTCTTAAGGTGAACAGCAAATTACAAGATGATGTTATTGCTACAATTTTCGGGGTTTACAGAATCATTTACGAAACCTTCTATTTGAGACCAAAGGCAAAGAAAGATCTTTTTCTGTGAAAGTTATTGAACATTAAATATTACATTGAGAGAGAGTTTTTTTTCCTGAATAATCATGTGAACGATCTTTTGTGTCTCAAATACTGATGGGTTGAATTATAAGTTGAGTTATAAGTACGCCCTTGTGCAAATTAAATGAAACAAAACAAATAATTCCGTTATTATTTACTTTTTTTTCGTATTTTTCCAATGAAACAAGACCCAGTGCACATGTTAGTAATTCTTATGTCCATTCCACGAAGTCGTTCCTTGCAAAGGGACCATAGATTCTCTATTGGATTTAAATCAGAAAAGTTTCCAAGCCAGTCGATATTACTTTGATTTGCTCACTCGTAAAAAAAAAAAAATCAAACTCTTTGCCAAAAACGACAATGAGTAGAAAGGTATTACTGTAAAAAGTTTCTGTGATGACATCGGTATGAATTTCGGATTAGATAAATGTACAAAAGTAACATTCAAGAAAGGGCAGAATTACAGAAACACATTCAACAGATTTTGTCACAAAATTAGGAAACTGGAAACAAATGCCCCTATAAATACCTATCAGTCAGCGTAGAAGATGTAAGACAACATACCCAAATGAAGGGGAAAGTAAGAAAAGAATACTGCAGACTTGTGTGTCCCGTGTTAAATACCGAGATGGATTCCCAAAACAGAATATCAGCCATAAACAATTTTGGTTGTCCCTGTAGTGCAATCCTTAATTGGACCAGACCTGATATTAAGCGAATAGATGCCAAAACGAGAAAGCTTCTCACTTGCCACAGCATACATCATCCTAAGGCTGATATTGATCGTCTGTGTGTGTCCAGATCCAAAGGAGGCAGAGGATTAGTTCAACTAGAACTGTCTTAAAGGAAGCCAACAAATTCAAAGGGAAATTTCAAATGAGTGAAAAAGTAGAAATAAACAATAATACACCTATTGCAGCAGCAAAGAGCCTAAAAAAGAAAACGAAAGTAAATGCAATGTACCAAATGCAGAAACGATGGGAAGTGAAGCCTCTTCAGGTTCAATACTCTGCCCATACCAAACAATCTGATGTAGACAGACCCTGTACAAACCCTGTTTTAGCGCAGTATGGGGTTAAAAGCTGAAACCGAAGGTTTTATTCTTGCTGCACAGGACCGATGCCTGCTAAGTAAAAATTACCAAGATCACGTGCTGAAAAATTGTGTTGATCCCAAATGCAGATTCTGTGATAAATATCCAGAAACAGTTGACCATCTTGTATCAGTGTTAGCACTAACTGAATATAAAACTCAGTGAGTCGATATCTGCATCGGAAAATATACAACTTTTACGGAAAGGAAACTGCAAGAGACTGGTATGAACATCACCCACACTTGGTTAGAGAGATAGGACCTGTAAGAATTTTATGGGACTTAACAATACACGCAGGCAGAACAAAGCTAATCGTTCAAACATCGTGATCAAAGATCACAAAAACAGAATGTTTTCTTATTGACATGGCAGTCCCTGCAGATTTAATGTATCATTGAATATCTTCAAAAAATTATCAAAATACGAGGATCTTGAAGTGTATGCCTGAAAAAATCATGAGGACATCAATAATTCCAGTCGTACTAACAGCCCTTGGATTGATTTTTAAAGGTTCCGATAGATTCATTGAAGGGATTCCTGGTAGACTATGACTTAAAGAAATAAAAAAGATTGTACTCACAAGAACAGCTCACACATTACGAAGAGCTTTATTTATGTAAAATGTGTGGTATATTACGTTTATTTTGTTTTTTGACAAAAAATGATCAGTGGAAAATGTTATAAAACTATTCTGTATATATTACATTATTCATACTATTGTCCTCATCTTTGTCGACATATTTATTGTTTCGGCCGTTGTACACTCCGGCCTTCTTCAGGTGGTTGGAATGTCGAACTGAACCCTTTATTTTGCTCACTGGGGTAGACTGTTCTAGTTCCACGTGCCATGTTTAATGGATGTCAGTTATCAGTTATCTTCTGTTAATTCCCCTCTCCAAGTTCTCTACTGCCTTAACTGGGTATTGAACTCACACTCTTTTGGTCCTGTCACTGGATCTAACGCCTTTATCTACTATGCCATGAGTCCTTGAGGCAGTGGAGAACTTTCAGAGGAAAATTAACAGGAGATAACTGATAACTGACACCCATTGAACATGGCATATGGAACTAGAACAGTCTACCCCAGTGAGCGAAATAAAGGGTTCAGTTCGACATTCCAACCACCTGAAGAAGGCCGGAGCGTACAACGGCCGAAAGGGTGTAATAAATATGGCGACAAAGATGAGGACAATAGTCTGAATAATGTAAATAGTGAAACCATTTCTAACCTTAGGTCTTTGGTTGGGAACCGGAAGGAAACGTGTAAAGAATAGAAAGCCAAGAAAATAATAATAATAATAATAATAATAATAATTTTGTTTATTATAATTATTGGAACTAAAACGGCAATTGCGGTTAGAATACGGAAGAGTTGAAATTTATGGGACATGCAGTAAGGAAAGTAGGCTTGAAGATTTTGACACTACCAGGGCTTAGAAGGCAGTGTGAAATATGGAACGTCTTGCATGAGGGGCATGTGTAAATGTTTGGCAAAACAGGGTTTGGGGTGCGCAATCATTGCTTAGAACCACAAAGGATAGGAAGCTGTGGAGGGTGAAGAAGAAGAAGAAGATTATAAGCTCATTAACACTATTCAGAAAGAGAATTGCCATTTAAGGCAAGCCTTCATTCTATTGTGTTATTCGACAACAATTCAAATGATGTCATTACGTCTCCACATCACCCTTTCCTTTAGCAGACATGATTAACAGTATCATATTCGTATGTTTACGAGCGCCGACAACGAGGGTCGGTCGGGTAGACTCCGACCACCTTCCGACCTTTTAGCACCGACTCCACAAAACCTCTATCACTAATTTTGGTGGAGTGGCATTCTGTACAAATTGTTTTCTATTTTTCTTTGCTTTTATTTAAAAACTTGTCTACATTTTATTTATTGGCAAATCTAATAAGACCCCAAAATCTCAAAGTTCATAGGCACGTAGCAAGACACAATCGCGAGCCTATATGAATATATTCAACGAAAGTTTAGGAGTTGAAATCAGTGACAAATTCATTATGTCTAAATATCAAGTTTCGAACATTAAATTTCGTGTCAAATAGTGGGTCCTGTTCGGCACAATTTGTAACAGAAATTGTTGTCTCAAACCTCATAACTATCATCACACAGAAGTAGGTAACCTACAGCCCGTGGGCCAGATCCAACCCACGAAGGGATTTTGATTGACCGACCCGCGATTTAATATCGAACTATTAAGGCCAGGCTCATTCAGGCCTTGGATGATTTTCTTTGTTAAACTAGCCACAGGTTTCGTTTTTTTACTAAACCAAAGAGTCATACACACGCATTGAATAATCGACAGTTTGTATTAAAAGTTGGTTACTTTTCATTAGACTAAAGCTGCATTTACCATGTAATGGATGCGATGGGTAAATTGTCGTCTAAATGACGCAAAACTAAAAATAACAATGACATTACATTTTAACAAACATATTTAGAAAAATTACACAAATATATCTTGAAATTCTAAAGAGCAAATTTATCCAATAAAATCGCCATTATTTTTCATTAGACTAACGCTCAATTTACCATGTAATGGATGCGATGGGTAAATTGTCGTCTAAATGACGCAAAACTAAAAATAACAATGACATTACATTTTAACAAACATATTTAGAAAAATTACACAAATATATCTTGAAATTCTAAAGAGCAATTCAATAAAATCGCCATTCAATAAAATCGCCATTCAATAAAATCGCCTCCAGACGATTTCGGAATCTCCTGCATCTCTTCTGGACGGTCTCCTTGTTTAAGTCGGTGAATGCTGCCATAATCGCAGCCTTCAGTTCATCTTTGGTGTGACAAGGAATTTTGTCGTTCTCTCGCTCAACTGTACCCAGCGCATAATACTCAAAGGGGTTCTAGTCTAGGGAGTTAGGTGGTCAGATGTAAGAGGTGATATGGTCGCAGAAATTGTCTCGCAGCCATGGCTAGGTATACCTACTTGCAGGGCAGGGTACAGAATCCTGTTGCCAGACATAGGATCTTCCAGCAGCCACCCTCTTGACATAGGGCAGCACTACCTTCTCAATGCACAGGATGTTGGTCTCCGTGTTGAGCCTGAGGCTCTGTGGGAAGATGAAGAGAGGCAGAACGTCGTCATCACTAGGGCTGCTGCTAGGAAAGTTGGTTCACTGTGTTTTGCCAAACAGCTTTTCTCGTCAGAATCCATCTTGCACATTTATAAACTTACCATTTGTCCGTGCATTGAATATTGCTGCCATATCTGGTCTGGTACTCCTGCTATGTATCTCGAGATCCTTGACAAAATCCAAAAAAGAGTCGTCTGTAATTTTATTGGTCCTGATCTGGCACCTCCTTTTCAGCCACTTTCTCGCGGCCGTGACGTGGCTTCCCGCTGTCTTTGCTATAAATATTCTCATGGAAAAATTTTTAATGAGCGTAGTACTAGACTAGGCCAATTGGTCTCATCATTCTACTTTTGAATTAGATAGATGCAACCGTAAGTTTTATTCTAATACTTCTTTTCTCGCCTGTTGAACTCTCTTACCGTTTTATCTTCCTTACCATCTACGACCTTCAAAAATTTAAAGGCAGCGTCAATCGCCATCATTTATCTTTTTAATACCTGTTCATTTATTGTCCTTGTTCTCATTCTCTTTAACTCTTAGTATCTTCTTGCGTCTTACTTGCATTATTGCTGTGATTGGGGTGAAATAATTAAAAAAAATGGACTTCATTGCCATTGTGCAATTCATCATGTTTATTATTATTTTTAGGTTTCAAAGATTTTGTGTCTTTTAATGAATTCAAAAGACTGAAATAATCCACGACTAACTTCGTTTCAAATCCAGTAATCATTAAGCATCTGATTTAAGCAACATAGAACCTGTGGTTCTGATCGAACCGGCGAAAGAATTTTGACAGGCCCACGATCACGCAAGGGATATTCCGCTTATCCAGAAAGCGGATAATTTTGCTTTTTTATCCTGGTCGCGTGTTCCATTTTGTTTCAAGCGAAACGCAAGTATCTGCATTGATTCGACTGATTTCATTAAAAATTGATAATCTTTATAGGACATTAATTTGCTAGTTTTTAATTAATTGGGCTTATATTTTACCTATGTTTTAAATATTTTGTTTCTTTTTGAATGAATAAAAGAAAAAGTTACCTTGAATGAAATCTTCACCGTCGGTTTTATCACGTATTCAAGAATTTAATTTCTTTGCTGATCGCTTCTTATATGATTGTTGTAGAGTAGTTTTCACAGTGGAGGCTTGTATTTCACTAAGTCGGTCCTAAAAAGGTTCGACGTACAAAACGTTAGAAACTTGAAATAAGAGTTAATGACGCAGCAATCTAGTTGTGATGGTTGATACTTTAATGTCCGACATCGACTGACTGACCAACTCACTGAGAATATTTAGTCACCCGCCACGAGGTCATCACGTGGCACAAGGCCGGTTTAACGTGGGATCCCCGAGCCCGTGGGCTCGGCCACAAATATACCCTTTGAACCCGTATAAACGGGTTCAGGGTTGGTTTACCTCCACGAAAGAGACTCCGCCCTTCGGCGTAGCCTCGTTCGGGTTCCTCCCCGCCCGAAGGCAGAGAGTTCAACCGATCAGCCGGTCGTCCAACTTCAGACTGAACTCAGACAAACTCACTGAGAGTATTTAGTCACCCCACCCCACGAGGGCATAATGTGGCACAAGGCCGGTTTAACGTGGGATCTTCGAGCCCGTGTGCTCGGCCAAAAATATGCCCTTTGAACCCGTATAAACGGGTTCAGGGTCGGTTTACCTCCCCGAAAGAGACTCCGCCCTTCGGCGTAGCAGAAGGCAGAGTTCAACCGATCAGCCGGTCGTCCGACTTCAGACTGAACTCGGAACATCTCACTGAGCCCCCTGGCGACTGCTACTACTACTACTACTTATAGGTGGGAGAGTCTAATTACAATAAAATAGGTATGTTCTAGTATAACAATGATGGTGGAGTTGATGACAAAGTAGACCATTTCTTGCATGGAAGGGCCGATGGCACTGACTGCATGGTAATGTTGGTGGAGGATGAGATTGATTTTGTCGAGTCCTTCATCTTGCTTGACTTCCTTTTATTTTCTGATGGTTTCGAAGTTTTTAGTTTCAATGGTGATTGAACACCACCAGTTGGCACGGTCTTGGGTCTTGTTTCAAACGATTTAGACTCAATGATTCTCAATGTTGTTTTGAGTTCACGGGAATAAATTGTGAGTAAATAGACTTCGATTCCTTATGCGCACCATAGCTTAACACAAATAATTTGTCGCGAATGCGCGATTCATTACAGGAAGTTCTATGAAGGCCGTTGTTAATGTGCAGTCCCGCAGGTTTCTTGTTTCGGGGTTTAGCCTATCGTGAAACCTCTTCGTTGTAAAAATCACTGTAACGACTGAGTTATTCAGCTAGAAAGGGAACAGGTTAAAATCGTTTTATGTCAGCCCTATTGTCTCCCCAACGTTGAGATCAGTGAGGGCGTTCCCATTTTTCACTTCTCTGTTCAACCCTTTTCCTGCTTTATATTAATAATCTGTCTAAGACTATACTTCAGTCTCTTTGAATATCTATGGCAATGATGCAACGGTATATGGGCGTACCTCCCTAAATCTAGATGACCAGAGCCTGGCTGTTAATCTCTCCTCTGACCTAGCTTTAAAAGCTCAAAAGGGAAAAACTAGCTAGTTACATTTACATAAAAAAAAAAATAAATAAATAAATAAAATAAAATAAAATTACAGGGTCCATTACTATTCATGGTATCTTGGATCATATTCTCAGTGGATAAAGGTGTCCAATGTACTAAAGACTTTTATGTAATGAACAGATATATAACGATTGTCTCTTCGATGTATACGCATATCCATTC